ATTTTGATGGGGTGGGGTACTGGGAGATTTTATAGCTTGCATTAGGGCTGTCTAGTACTCTGGAAACCAACAGAAGCACTAACCTTCATGAGATGTGCTATCCTGGGTAAAATAATACTGAAATTCATTTACCTTTCTGATATATATCCTCAAGACTGCAGTATATGAAACAACATGCTTTTGCATGTCAAAAAAGGACTCTTCATCAGGGACTGTAGCAATAGGACAAGAGGTAATGGATTTAAACTTCTATGGAGGAAGTTCAGGTTAGATATAAGAAACAAGTTATCTGCTGTGAGGGTGGTGAGGCACTGGAATAGGTTGCCCAAAGAAGTGGTAAATGCTCCATCCCTGGCAGTGTTCAAGGCTAGGTAGGACAGAGCCTTGGGCGATATGGTCTAGGGTGAGGCATCCCTGCCCATGGCAGGGGGGTTGGAACTTGATGATTTTAAGGTCCTCTTCAATCCTAACCATTCTATGATTCTATTTGCTAACCTTTTAAACAAACATGAGCTACAAGACCTGGACTTACTTTGCATTACAAATAGGTGTGGAGCTCCAGAAATCTTGTCTTTTAAGAAGAAACAAGAAGAATGCAGATGTTGGGAGGGAATAAGAAAGTGAAAAATACTTTATGTTTTCTATAGTCAGCTTGACAACCATAATTTTCACTTTTCTTCCTTCTGAGGACATAAACTATTTCTTTTTTCTGTCCCCTTTGCTTTACTTAAAATCAGTTATTCTCCTGACTGGCACGAATGCAGAGCAGCCATGATGGAAGAGCTGGCAGATGAAGTAAAAATATATGGCATGTGTTTTCAGGTTTGGTTACTAAGACAAACAAACAAACAAACAACCCCCCCCCCAACCCACCCAAACAAACAAACCAACACAACCCTACCCTCTGCCCCCAACTAAAAATTAGACCATAAAATCTAAGGTCATACATAAGGAACAGCAAAATTACAAATGAACGGAATAACTGCAAGGGTCAAGGTTTATCTGTATTTCTTTCTACTAAAATCATTTGGGCACTAGAGTAAATGGAAGTAGCTGAGTTAATTCAGGTGATTGATTATTCAGTACTCACAGTATAAAAATGAACATAACTTTTCTCTTTCTGCATAAGGTTACATAAGAACCTGCACAGTTATATTATTATACTGTAGAGATGTGCACAGAAATGTATAGCTTCAAGTAAACTTTAACCCAGCAACTCTTCAGCTTCCGAGGTTAACATGGTACAAGTTAAAGCAAAGCTAAGTAAAGCAACACTGCAAATAATTTCCAACAATTTCTTATCTTTTCTATCCTCCTGCAAACCTTTTTGCTAGTTTCTACAGAAATGTCACTGGATCAGAAGAGACAACTGCTCACAGAAATGCCTCTTTGCCCACAAAATTATGATTCATAATACAAGGAAGCTTTCGAAGTTAGGTTCAAATCAATGTGTACATCATTTTGAAATAAAGTCTATGCAATCCTCAGTCACGGGACTTACTAAGGTGCTCTTCTGGCTTAGTATAGTTAGATGCATTCATCAAGCGTATATATATAGCTGGTTTCAATGCAAATGAGCTCCTTTGAACAAATAACCTGGCTAATTATAACAAGTTTTTAAAGTGTAGCCATCCAGAAGTAGTCATAAAGGTTTAACATTTCTTAGATTAATAAATTATTTTTAAGCTACAGATAAATCTACATTATTTTTTCCTTAGTGCTCTTCGTGTTTTACATATTTCAACTGACCATTGCCAGAGTCACTGATTGTGCATCTTACAAAAAACTGAGGGATAATAGAACAAATTAAGTATATATTGATACTTCCTGCAAGGTAATGATTTGATAAGAACACTACTTATAGCCTATAGTTCCTCCATGCAGCCCAAGAGGGTAAATAACTGAAAAGCTGAAGAAACTCTCAGGTGGCATGTACATGTTTGCATGCACATGTGCAGACACAAACATCTGACTACCAGAGAACTGTAAAGTAAAAGTAAGTGTAAAAAAAAAATATATCTTTTTAAAACAAATATTCCTTTATAGGCATATCAAAATACCCTAAATATACTTTAATTGTTGCATGATAGAATTTGTGCTTGACTACATTGGTTAAAAGAAAACTCAGAGCAGCAGACATTATCAGCCAAGCTATTCAGAGTATATATCCAAGTTCCCACATTCAAAAATGAGAACACTGCAAAGTTAGATGTATAACGTTGAATATGTTTCATTTAGCTATTAGGTGACTCAAGAAACTACCTGTTACAGTAAGGATTCCCCTGCATTTCTGTACTTTGGAAGTCTAAGTAAGTGTGACAACACAATTTAATTATTTATACTGTAATCAGATATGCCTTTAAAAATATAACTTCTTATTGTATATAGAAAATTATATACTAACAGTTTCAGGCAACTAACACAAATCGTGTTGGCTATTAAAATAAGACATTAGAATTTAGAGCTAAAATGAAGGTATCTTAATTTTCTCCTCAATCATTTAGTAAGTTGACATAATCATTGCCAAGGTTGTAAAACAAACAAGCAAACAAACAAAAAACCTCACTGACTGTATTTATTCCACTATAATTTTAAAGAAAAAAAGAAGTGTTTCTTATACATAACTGCATAGCGGCACGAACAGGGCAGGCACCATCTCGTTAGAACTCTTTAATATTTTTTTCAGAGGCTGAATTTCTTAAATTCAGAGGCCTGCACTTTGTACCAGTCCTGTGAGCAGATCTAGGTCTCTTCACTTACAGTTTTTTGATACGGCATGAAGGAGTAATATGTAACAAAAATATCTAGAGGCTGGAGGGCGAACTGGTTTTCACATAACAGAAAGAGATAAGGGGAATATAGGATGTATGAAGTTTTGATTTTGGAAAGAAATGTTAGAGGGCTGCAAGTGCAACAGAAAAATAACAGTAGGCTCTTGAAGATACAAAAATAAACCACAGCAAGGAGGACCAGCCCATAGCACAGTCTGAGTGAAGCTATTCTTGATATTACTACATAAATTCACTGAGTAGGTTTGACTGAAGTAGTTGAAGTCAAAATAAGTCACTCCACTGTCATCAGTAGACTTCATTCAGGCCACCATGTGCAGTCATGACCCTTCTTCCTTTTCATCTAGGCAAAGAATCCTCCCTGTTTCACAGAACAATACCATCTCCCAGTTCTCTAAGAAACTGTGTCAGTACCCACCTCCCAGAGGTTTTTTTTAAGCAGTTGCATCTATGCCTGCCTCAAACCAATAAAATTCATAAAGCCTCTGCACATTTCTTGTGACACACAGGAGCAAAGCCCATTCAGTGTATTAGTGTTAATGGGAAGATTGAGGGGAGGCTCAGTAACTCTGGGACCATTATGGTAACTGCAAGCAATGAAAACACACACAGCTAAAACATAGAATCATAGAATAGTTAGGGTTGGAAAGGACCTTAAGATTATCTAGTTCCAACCCCCCTGCCATGGGCAGAGACACCTCACACTAAATCATACCACCCAAGGCTTCGTCGTCCAACCGAGCCTTGAACACCGCCAGGGATGGAGAATTCACATCTTCCCTGGGCAACCCATTCCAGTGCTCTCCACCCTTACAGTAAAGAATTTCTTCCTTATATCCAATCTAAGCTTCCCCTGTTTGAGTTTTAACCCAATTACCCCTTGTCCTATCACTACAGTCTCTAATGAATAGTCCCTCTCCAGTGTCCCTATAAGATCCCCTTCAGATACTGGAAGGCTGATACGAAGTCTCCATGCAGCCTTCTCTTCTCCAGGCTCAACAGCTCCAACTTCCTCAGCCTATCTTCATACAGGAGGTGCTCCAGTCCCCTGATCATCCTTGTGGCCCTTCTCTGGACTTGTTCCAACAGTTCCATGTCCTTTTATGTTGAGAACACCAGAACTGTACACAATACTCCAAGTGAGGTCTCACGAGAGCAGAGTAGGGGGGCAGGATCACCTCCTTCGACCTGCTGGTCACGCTCCTTTTGATGCAGCCCAGGATACGGTTGGCTTTCTGGGCTGCGAGCACACACTGAAGCCGGCTCATGTTCATTTTCTCATCAACCAACACCCCCAAGTCCTTCTCCACAGGGCTGCTCTGAATCTCATCTTTGCCCAACCTGTAGCTGTGCCTGGGATTGCTCCTACCCAGGTGTAGGACCTTGCACTTGTTACGGTTAAACTTCGTAAGGTTGGCATCAGCCCACCTCACAAGCATGTCGAGGTCCCTCTGGATAGCATTCCTTCCCTCCAGCGTATCAACCGAACCACACGGCTTGGTATCATCAGCAAACTTGCTGAGGGCACACTCAATCCCACTGTCTATGTCAGTGACAAAGACAGGTCCCAACACCGATCGCTGAGGACACCACTTGTTACTGGTCTCCCGCTGGACATTGAGCCGTTGACCACAACTCTTTGCATGAAGGGAAATTATTTTTGCTTATTTAAGTTGTGCATGTGGAGTAAAAAGCTCTTTCAGGCAAATTATCTACTGCCCAAATACAGCATAAGGCATGTAAAACACTGAAGCACAGGTCCAAACCTAGTGTTCAGACCCCATGGCTAGTCAGAATACCTGCTAACATAACATTTTCAAAAGTAAACTCTGCCCTCATGGAGCCTGCCATGACTGGATTTAAGCATTTCCTATGCTTTGAACTAGTGCCTTAACCTGTTTTTCTGGTGTATATGTGACAATGTTGACAAGAGTTTGTAACAGTTCAGGATTCTAACTAAAGTGACCAAAACATTATGAGGCGATGTTGGCCAAATGTTTGAAAGCAAGAAATCTCCCATTGCTTCAAATTCCTTCAAATATTTTCCTTTGGGGACATAACTTGTATTTTATCATAATGATTTCTATTTGCTTCTGGAGCATGAGTCATGCTCTTCAATGATTTTTGGTTGATTGCATAACTATTAGTGAGAACAGGGTTTGGCTAGTTTTTATTCGGTTTGGGGTTTTTTTAATAAGAATTCCTGCTTACCTTCAGGTGAAGTACCCGGCTTTTGAGAAAACGCAGAGCTTATTTTACTTTTTTTGCTGCCACTGCTGTTGACAGACAAGGTGGACTGAATTTTTCTGTGCATTTTTTCTGAAACAGGAGCCGAATGTTTTCTGTTGTCTGCAGGCACGTGCTTGATCCCATTGTGAATTCCACTTCCATTACTCAGACCCGCGTGGCCATTTTGGATTTTGCCACTTTCTTCCTCACCCCTTTCCAGTGCTGAAGTATTCGGCTGAGGCAAGCGTTGAGGTTGTGCTTAAAATAAAAGAAAGAAAGGGTTAATTTAAATTCAGCACCACACAGAAGGTTTGCAAGACTCTGTGAATTACACAGGGAGAATAAGGCAAGCAATTTGAAGAAGGAAAAAATCAAGAACACGAGAAAAAGTAGCAAAACTGAGATAAATTTCCTTTAGGGAAGACAAAGAAAGAATGGGGGAAATGCAAGAGAATGAGAGAAAAAGGTGTTGAATCATAGAATCATAGAATAGTTTCTTTTGGAAAGGACCTTCAAAGGTCATCTAGTCCAACCCCCTGCAGTGAGTAGGGACATCTTCAATAGATCAGCTGCTCAGAACCACATCCAGCCTGGCTTTGGATGTCTCCAGGGATGGCACATCCACCACCTCTCTGGGCAACCTGTTCCAGTATTTTACCACCCTCATTTTAAAGAATTTTATTCCTTGCATCCAGCATGAATCTCCCCCTTTTAGCTTAGAACCATCACTCCTTGTCCTACTGCAACAGGCCCCACTAAAAAGCCTCTCATGGATTGCTGGGAAGAACAGAGCAAATCAAAATCTGGTTTTGTGGAAGAGGTGAACCAGTAACCAGAAGAAACACACATTCAAACACCACACAGCTGTGGCAAGCCACAGCTCAATTCAGAATGACAATTTTTAAAATTGCATTAATGGGCCAGTTAGGGCTCTTAATGGCAACAAACTGAAATGGTCAAAGGAAAAAAGTACAAAACCAGTCAAAGCAGGAATCTGCAGTAGCCTGGCTAAGACTCCAAGTGTATATAACCCTATTTTAAAGAGAGGGCATGAAACTTAACCATTCTTTGTTGAGGTACTGTATCATAAAGGAGAATGGAAAAACATATTGTTTATATATTTAAAGCACGTATCTAAAGAAAAGATGCAGGATCCAACTTGAAGATTCATATTTAGAAAAAAAAGAAAAAAAACAGACTTTGAAAACTAATTAAACTATGCACATAGTAACACAATAATATTTCATAATCAAAGGCTCAGCCCAATCACCTCTCTTAATCAGAACTGCATCATGCTTGGACATAGTCTTTTCAGACAGCCCAATCTTCAACTATTTATAAATCTAATGTCAAGGAAGAAGTACAGATACTACTGACCACCCAGATGAAGAGAGACTGAACAGTGCCAGCAGTAAAGAAAAACAATGCTGCAGTTCATTCTCTTTTCAAATGATTAGCATCCATTTTCAGATGATTTTACAGTATAGCTTTGAATGTATATTACACTGTGTCCAAGATAACAATATGTAAAGATAACTATACTTGCCTTCCTCTAAAAGAAACATCTCCACTGATCACTTCAGGTAAAAGTTACAAAACTTTTTAACAAATATTACTGGGACATGCATACCAACATGGTCTTTAAAAAGACTCTGAGTCCTGATTTTGCCTTCAAACTCTAAATGCTTCCCTTTTACCAAGGACACTGACACCATTCTCAGGCTGCTTCCTCCAACTATCACAAACTTGTCTAGATTAATCTTCGTATGAATCTTAAACTTTAAGTCCTGGTCGCATTGACAGACAAGAGATACTCTTCATAATAGTTTAAATATGAACTAGGATTTTAAGAAGATACTCTAGACTAAACACATCTATTTAGGTCAGAGTAACCCTGATAGAACTTTATAAAAGTGATAATCTTGTGTTGCAGGAAAGAAAGGAAGGGCTGGGAAAAACATTTTTGGCTTAATCTTTCCAAAGATGTTGCAAGGAAGACAAAGATTACTCCCATCCATTACCAGAAATAATTGCTCATGAACCTCCATCTAACCAAGCAGGAGCACAATGCTGACACCTGAACAACTAACCGTTGCACAAAAAGTTTTTCATTGCCAAAACTGAAACTGCTCTTCCTTCCACTTTTGCATTAGTGTTTGCAGAACTTACAAAGAGAAGCATAAGCAAGCCACTTTCTTCACTTTGGAATTTGATTTGTAGTATATATTCTGTTCACTTTTCCAGACTTTTATAAAGGACCCAAAGCAGATTTTTAGGGAGTTTTCACTTACCTGAATAGGATTCATTAAAAGAAGACTATTCAGGAACCCTTTATGTAGGTCCTTTCCACTTATGTGCACAACGAATTTTATAAAAATTAAAATGTTTTCATTCCATTTTAAAAATAGTCAATGTAGACTTAACCTCAGTCAAAAATTAATTCTTTGGCAACATCAGGAATAAAAATTTTGCTCTCTGAAATTCAGTGTTCATACTCATAGTTCCCTATAGCTTTTTTTTCATTACCCCATTCAAATGTAAAATGTACTATTTAGAACAGTTCTTCTCACATTCCATGAAATGATGTTTCCTCACACTGCACTGCCTGATTCCCAGCTGTGGAGTGGTGCAGTTATACCAATAACCTGGCATTACTGGGGAGGGATTAACCTTCCTCAGTAAATAAAAACAATAGCTCATACTAAAAATTCTGCATGTCTGGACATAAGTTTCTGAAACTGACAGTTATGACCTTTTCCAAGCCAGCTAATTTGGTGGTGACAGCTTACAACTGTTTGTGTATTTTTGGTGCTTTGCTATAATACAGTTATGTGACAAATTATCCAAAATACAGTCTCCAAAATTAGGCGTGTTTCTGTCAAACTGTGGGTGAATGGGAAGTCTTAGGGAACCTAAACAGATGTAGGCTTTTATTATTATTTTTACTAAAGGTTTGGGAGACATTTTTGGTGTTTTGGTGAGGATTTTTTTTTAATCCTTTTATTAAATAATCCTGTTCCCAAAGTACTCTTACTTCAGTCTTTTAGCATTAACATACAACTTTTTAGCTGACTGGCTTTACAGTATTCACATGTGATATGCGGGTCAAATCGAAATGGAATAAAACCCCAAATGGATTAGTTATCTCAATTTAAATTTATTTTAACTTTATTGATAATTTTGCACTAGGGAGACTTGAATCTTATGGTTAAAACACACTTGAAACCAATTAGGAACCATATGACTGCATTCTAGCATAAAGAACAAAAGCAATTGACAGTTCCAAGATTAAGCCACAACCACTCAGTTTAAAACAGAAATATTTTTACCTTATTTTTTAAAGGTTGTGTATGTCTTAAAAAAAAAAAAGGTGTAATATGGGGAACGACACAATGATTCTTAAAACACAGTGATACCCAGGGACTCTCACTCTCTCTTTAATGATCCACTGCTCTCATTCAGCTGTCTTTCTTTTTTCAAATCTTTACATATGTGACAGCTCTCAAAAGTAGACCATAGACCATCTGGCATTTTCCGAGGTGTAACTTGTGCAAATTCAGCTCTACTGGGAACACAATGCTATCTTCTGCCTGCGTTATAAAAGATACAATAGAATGTAGAACTTATGAGTTGTTTTGAATTATTCATTTTTTGCCTGTATATTCAAGAAATTTTACAAACTCTGCATTTTGTACTACATAATCACATGCGTTAAAGGTACAAAGAAACTTTTTGACACCTCTTTTCTACAGAAAGATGGCATTTTGTTTGATATGTGAACATTCAGCGCCTGTTATATCATTCTAAACAGGCCGTGTGCTGCTACAAAAGATCCCATTTTATACTCTATGTATGAGCAAAAAATTTATTCTTGATATTCAGTAACTAAGGCAATACACATCAAAATTTAAAATATGAGTTGGATGAACATTCAGCATCTTTAAATCAGGATGGCACTGGTCACTTACTATATGTTAGAGATTTAAAAAAAAAAAAAAATCATTCCTCATGCAACACAGAAAAATTGCCATTTCAAACATCCACAATGAATAGTTTCAAATGTCCTAAGAAATACTGTGCTTTTTAGGTTAATATGTTTTTAATCTTTAGCAAAACCAGTAGATTTAAGTCAATATTTTATACAGTGCTAACACTAGTGGATTTTCAATAAGAATGATAAATATTGGATTAATGATTCAATAGACTGAATCTTTTTTGATAGAAAACTAGCAGATAATGTAGCTAGTAATAACTGTACATGAATCTGCTGCCTGTGGAAAAGCAATAAAAAGGCAATATATTGCTATAGCATATAATCTATTAGCGTGTTTCACTGCTTCCCTGTCATTGGTTTCCTTGCAAAGTGGGCCTTAATACAATAACTTTTGCTATTATTTAACTGACTTTACATCATAATTTAATTGTGAGGTTACTATCTGGTGAAAAAATATCTGAGTACCAAATATTTACTTGATGGTTTTGAAGTAACTCTGCACATTCCCGTTTAGACTGTAAAATTCTTAGCACAGTTTAAATAAATATGGACATACGTATCCACATTGACAATACATTATTTACACCTTTCAAAAGCTGTTCTTAGGAGAAAAATCCTGATGCAGGCATTTGCTAGAAAAATGTATGTCAACACATGGAAACTCTCAACCAAAAGAGGACAGTCTAAGCTATCATTAGGGATTCTATACAAAACACAAAAACAAACATACATACAATACTGACTCCTCAGAATCAAAGTGAATCAAAAGAAAACATCAGGAGGGAGAGAAGAATTGAGACAGCTAATTAGTAGCTTAATCACATGAAAAGCAAATCCAAGGCAGCTGAAACAGATGCCCATGGAGCTTGCTAGTGTGGCTAATGCCACCAGTGGAAAAAATACTTTCCAGTTTACAACTTGAGTCATCTGACTGTACACCCAGAGAGGTAAAAACACTGCTTTTCTTCACTTATGACACAATAGTTTATCACACCAGATCAGGCCACAGAAGCAATGTTTTTGCAGTTGGACTCGGGAAGAATAAAATGCACAACTCCTGGGTGTAAAAAAAAATAAAATAAAATACAACCTTTGGTATTTTCAAATATTGAGAAAATTCAAAGTATCATTTAATTTGAAAATATCCTCAAACCTCCTCTGCCTCCCAAAACAGCTGAAACCACAATAAGGGTGTGAGCTCTTTTTAGGAAACAGAGGTCCTGTTTGGGTCCATTAATGTTGAAAGCCAAGATCTACATGCTAA